ACACAGACAAACACAGAGACACATACAGATACAGACATACAGACACACCGACATACAGACAGACACAGACACACAAACACAGAGACACAGACAGATATAGACATACAGACACACAGACACAGACAGACACAGACATACAGACACGCAGACAAACACAGACACAGACAGACACAGACATACAAGCATACAGAAACACACAGACAGACACAGACACACAAGTATACACAGACACATAGACAGACACACAGTCACACAGAGACACATTGGCAAACAGACACAGACAGACAGACACACACACACACAAGAAAATAGCTCTAACATCTTGAGCTCTTGTCACTCCATCGCTGGCCTATCTAACAGGTTCCCAGGAAGGGCCCTGACAGCAGGGGTCTGTCCGCTGCTGGGAGTGGGCTCACAAGTTCTGGGGCCTCTTTGAGATCATTTTAGAATTTTGTCTTTGAGACAAGATCTTACTATGTAGCCCTGGCTGTCCTGGAACTCCCTCTGTAGAGCAGGCGGGCCTCAGACCCAGAGATCTGCCCGCCTCTGTAAATACAAATTGTGTGCATATGTAGGAGTGTGAATGAATGCACGGATGCAGGGGCCCAGGGAGGCCGGAAGAGGGCCCCGGATCTCCTGGACCCAGAGCTACAGGAGGTTGTAAGCTCCGTGCCCTGGGTGCTGGGCACCCGCTGAACTGGGGTCTTCTGGGATAGCAGTAGGTTCTAACTGCTGAGCCATCCCTCCAGCCCCCAACTTTAGCACTTAAAAGTATTTTGTTACATTTTATTTCTTGTGTGCGCATGAGTGCAGGTGGGTACATGCCACAGCATATGTGTGGAGGTCAGAGGACAAGCTCAGGCCCACTCTGCACCATCTCACAGGGATCCCCCCCAACACACACACACTTCAGAATTTTAGCTGCCAATGAATACATCCATGTCAAAACAAATCCTAATGTCTACCTAGGGAATGAATGAAAAAGCCAACGATGGGGACTGGAGAGACGGCTCAGAGGTTAAGGGCACTGACTGTTCTTCCACAGGTCCTGAGTTCAATTCCCAGCAACCACGTGGTGGTTCACAACCATCTGTAATGAGAGCTGGTGCCCTCTGCTGGTGTGCAGGCACACGTGCAGGCTGTATAAATAATAAATAAACAAATGTAGGGACCAGGGTGAGGAAGTGAAAAGGTGTGTGTGTCGGGGGAGAAGGTTGCCTCATTCCATAAAGCCAGATGGTTTGAGGGTCTGGTCAAAATCTGGGTTCTGGGAAGGGGCAGTTCTGGGACTCACGCAGAGGATTTGAGCTACCTGACCCGCACAAGAAGGAGTCTCAGAATTAACAGTGTGTGCATCTGAGCCACTGTATCAGTCCCAAAGAATGGACACTCTGACTGGGGTGTGACTTCTGCTCCTTGTCCCCCTGTCCTCTGCCTGCTCCAGGCTACGACTTTCCGGCTGTCCTGCGCTGGTTTGCTGAGCGCGTGGACCTCATCATCTTGCTCTTCGACGCCCACAAGCTGGAGATTTCCGACGAGTTCTCAGAGGCCATCGGTGCCTTGCGCGGCCATGAGGACAAGATCCGCGTGGTGCTCAACAAGGCGGACATGGTGGAGACGCAGCAGCTGATGCGTGTCTACGGGGCGCTCATGTGGGCGCTGGGCAAGGTGGTGGGCACGCCCGAGGTCCTGCGCGTCTACATCGGCTCCTTCTGGTCCCAGCCGCTCCTGGTGCCGGACAACCGGCGCCTCTTCGAGCTGGAGGAGCAGGACCTCTTCCGTGACATCCAGGGCCTCCCGCGCCATGCGGCACTGCGCAAGCTCAACGACCTGGTGAAGCGGGCGCGGCTGGTGCGGGTGAGCGTGCTGGGTCCGCGGGAGGTCCGGGGGGGACTTGGGGAAGTTGGGGGGGGGGTTGGAAGCGGGATCAGGAGAAAGGGTGGAAATCAGGAGGCTGCGCGAGAACTGAAGGGAGCCTAGGAGGACTCAGGGGGACTGGGAGGATTTTGTGGAGCTGTGGAGGATGATGCAGTCTCAGGAGGCCTAAGCTGGAGGCCTCGAAGAGGCTACACAGACATGTTTTTCTTGCTTCCCTGCTTGTGTAGCTAACTAGAGACCACCTAGCTCCCAGACCAGTTCATTCTCCTGATGGGTTGGTCTGATTCTGGGAGGACTGAGGGAGGCAGTCCTGTGCAGTGGGCCCCACCATTGCTGCCCACCACTAAGCTGAGACACGTTTCCTTCCTTGTTTTCGTCCTGCCAGTCCCTCCTTCCATCCCACTGAACAAAAGCTGAGTCCTCTTGGCCGCTGTCTGAGTTACTTTTCCATAGCTGTGAAGAAAACATTGTATAACATCTTATGAAAGAAAACATGACTGGTGCTCATGGTTCCACCATGGTGGGGCCACGGCAGCAAGCGCGCAGGCGTGGTGAACGCTTACATGAGCACAAGGCCGAGAGCCAGCTAACTGGGGATGCTGTGGCCTGTGTCAACGTCAAAGCCCGCTCCCAGAGACATAGCAATTCCAAAAAGGCCTCTTAATTCTTCCCACACAGTTCCATAGGCTGGGGACCAAGTGTTCCGATACATGAGTCTGTGAGGGTCACTCTCATTCAGACCACCACAGTTGCTCGCTCCTTCCCTGCCTCGTCAACTCCCTCCCTTCCCAGCAGCCACTGCACCCCACACTGGCTGCCTCAGCCCTACCTTTATACTTGTTAAAGTCCCTACCTGCTGCAGGGCGTGGTTGCCATACTGGGCCTTCCACCAAGGGGCGGGGCTTCTCGCCCAGAGGCCCTTCACTGTATAGGCAGACATCTTGGTTCTGTGGCCCTTTTGTGCCCTTTCTCACCCTTTTCCCCCTTCCTGCCCTCTCTCCCCCCATTGCACGCTCCCTCCCCCTCCCACTAAACCTGCATTTATATAGTATAGCTTCATTAGCTCGTTCTGTTTTATTTAATCAATCAGTACTCACTGCTTGCTCTTCCTGATAGCCTTCTCTCCCCCGACTGTCCACAAGGCTCACTCAGGTGTCACCTGCTCCTTTAATGAGCAGCCTTACTCCAGATATACCCCTCACCCTATTGTGACCCCTGACCCTGTCTGCATCCTCACCGTCAGGGGGCCCCTGTACACTGCCTCCTCAGCTCGACATACTCAAGTTCTGCAGAACCTGGCCTCTTAGAATTCCTTCTGTGAGTGTCCTGGACCTGAATAGCTCTGTAAATATTTCCGGAATGAATGACGCTTGGTGGAAGTTCAGCTTGAACAAAGTCACCCCTGTGCCTAGAGCTTTGCTGGGACATGCTGGGCGTGCAAAAATGGCCAAGGCTGTTCTTGCCCTGCCTGACGGGGCTTCAGGTCTGAATGCCCCAGGACAGTGTTAGGACTCACTCTTAGTTGGAGAAGAAGACAAACCCCTCCCACAGCAGTGACAGCCAAGCACGGTCCTGTGGTAGGGCTGGGCAGGGCTGGGCGGAGTCAGGCTTAGAGGAGAGGGCGTCTGGGCCGCCGCTGGGAGTCTGAAACTGCTGACCCTTAGGGCTACACGAAGGATCAGGGAGACACGGAAAGCTTTGGAGCGGGTGACGGGATTACACTCAAGCTGCCTTCTGGAGATTGAATTCGGGTCTAGGAAGAACCTAGGGGTCTGGAGGGTATAGCCTGCTTCAGGCTGGGCCTCGGAGAGGAAGAGAGGCGCAATGGCTGTGCTTTCAGAGTGGAATGGAACTTTCAGAAGGGAGGCCGCCAGGGTGGAGGTGGGGCAGGAAGCTGGGCAGGAGGAGAGGCCAAGAGGGTTCTAGTTGGTGGAGGCATCCAAGGTGTGGTTTATGGAGATGGAGAAGGGTGAATCACCGCCTCTAACCCCACCGCAGGACTCCTCTAAGGAGCACCGGCTGCCCACGGAGCTGCCCCAGGAGGCCAGGGCTGTCCTTCAGTCACTGTGTCCTCATCAACCCCTCTTTCTCAATTCTTTTTTTCTTTTCCTAGTCTTCTCTCTCTTCACACCTCTCCCTCTCTCTTTCTCAGTGTCCTTACAGGCTCACCCTTACTCTCCACTGCAGGATCCTCTTGGGAAGCTGGGGCCCGTGGCACAGGGACTAAGGGGCCGGGCCGGACACCTGGCGCCCCGGCCAGGCGGGAGGTGGCTCCGGAAACTCAGGACAAACCCTGGCGTCCGACCCGCGCCCCAGCCCTGCCCGCACCACCCCCTTATCTCTTCCTGCCACCTTCCCATGCTTCCTCTCTGGAAAAGCCATCAGCGCTCCCGCCTGCCTCCGTCTGTCAGGAGAGCCACGGCGGGACCCGTCCCCTACCAGGGTCCTAGCAGAGCACGTCCCGCCCCTTGGGGCCACCCTAGAAGGCCACGCCCCTCGAGTAACTAACAAGCCACTCCTCTCCCGTTGCCCACCCCGTCCTCATTGACCCGCCCCAACAAGCAGAGCAAGCCACAATTGATTTTCCCAAACAGGCCATAGGCCTGCCAATGGCCCATCCTTCGGCCACGCCCCTTCTCATTAGCCCATTTTCTCAGGTCAGAGCCTTCCCATTAACTTCCACCAGCAGGCCACACCTCCTCCCCCACGGTCCCTTCCCGCTAGCCGCATCCCCATACATCTCTCCTCATTAGTTTGCTCCGGCAGGTCCCGGCCTTCCCGAGTGGCCCACTATCTCAAACCCTACTCCTCCCCATCGGCCAGCCATTTCAGCCCCTCTCCTCATCGCCCTGCTCTTCCTTACCGGCGTTCTCTGCTCAGCCACGCCCCTTTTCTCCTTTGGCTCCGGGCAGCAAGCGGTGACTTTCATCCTGACCACACCTCTATTCTGATTGGCCTCTTAGACCGGTAGGGCATACTTTCCTGTGGTCCTGCAAGCTCACCCTTCCTTCCCCAATGCCTCAGCGCCCTATCCTAGTCTTTAGGGTTGGCTCTGACCAAACTTCATTATATTTCATGGCATATCCTCCCCCCCGCCACACACACACCTCAGAGTGACCCGGCACTCCTTGTCCAGCCAATCACAGCGCACATGGCTTTAACTTCCCTTAAATGTTCCCCTTCCGTGGCACAAGGCCTTTAAGGACTCTCAGAAAGTATACTTGGTGTTAGCCGAAAGGCCAAGACGCTGCCCATGAAGGGCTCTCCGTAACGCACCCCCAAGTCTCAGTTTCGTATGCGGGCAAGGCAGGGTGAGCATGATTGTCTCTGCCCTTTGATGGAAGTGTAAGCCACTAGCAGGGGTGACTGCAGAGTGCTGCAAGGCTTGTAGCCGCGATCTGGGAAGAAAGGATTCTTTTAGTACTGTTGACTGTTTTTTAAAACAATTTTTATTGTGTGTGATCATGACCCATGTGTCTGCATGCGTTCTCGTGCCACATTCCATCTATCAAGGCCAGAGGATAACTTGTGTCGCCTCTGTCCGTCCACATGTGGGTCCCAGGGACCCAACTCCGGATTGGCAGCAAGGGTCCTTACCTCTGCCCACCCATATCACCAGCCTTATTTTATGTCCATCTGAACATGCATACTCAATGATGGCTCGGCCTGTAAGCAGTGGACATGCCCGAAGTCATTACTGCGCCATCCTCCTTTAAAGATTTTTGTTGCTGCTGTTTTTGTTTTTCAAGACTGGGTTTCTCTGTGTAGCCTTGGCTGTCTTGGACTCTTTATAGACCAGCTGGCCTCAAACTCACAGAGATCTGCCTGCCTCTGCCTCCCAGAGTGCTGGGATTACAGCCCAGCCGCCATCCTCATTTATTTTTCAGTAACTTATGAGAATGTGGTTCAAAGGTTCTTGAGTTCAGCACTTTATGCCACAACTATTTCCTGAGTGGTGCTGTGTGTATTGTCCCGGGACTGGAGACAGAGGAAACAGATAAGGTCTGACCTGGCAGAACTTGTAGTTTCATGGAGGGAAGCGGAACAGTTAGATAAAATAATGGTGACTCTAGCTCAACTGTGAAGAAGACAGAAGAGGTGGAGATAGTCAGATAGCAGTGATATGGGCGCTTGGTTTTTATGACAAACTCAGTGGGAAGGCTGGGACGGAGCTCAGGAAGAGAGCATGGTCATATACAGAGGCTCTGGGTTTGGGGGAAATGTTAGCATACTGGTCTTTGAGAAAGGCTGGTGAGCAGTGTATAGGGTAGGGAGAAAGAGGGGGTGTGGGTGAACCTGCAGGAGCCAGTCAGTGAGGGCAGTGGAGGGTTTAAGATTTATTGAGGGGAGCTGGGCCATGCTGGTACACACCTTTAGTCCCAGCACTTGGGAGGGAGAGGCAAGCAGATCTCTGTGAGTTCGAGGCCAGCCTTCAGACTGAGTCCAGGACAGTCAGGGCTCTGTTCCACAGAGAAACCCTGTGTAACAGGGGGTAGGTGGAGAGATGCTCAGCAGTTAAGAGCACTGGCTGCTTTTTTTAATTTTAATTTTTTCAAAATTTATTCATTATATATCCCAGATTGTAGCCCCCTCCCTCAACTCCTTCCATTCCCACCCTCCCTCTCTCTTCCCCCATACCCTTCCCTTAGTCCACTAAAAGGGGGAGTCCTCCTCCCATCTGCCCATAGCTTATCAAGACTCATGAGGACTGCCTGGATCCTCTTCCTCTGTGGCCTGGCAAGGCTGCACCGCCAGAAGGAAGTAATCAAAGAACAGGCAACCAAGTCCATGTCAGAGTTAGCCCCTGCTCCCCTTACTCGGGAATCTACATGGAGACTGAGCTGCCAATTGGCTGCATCTGAACAGAGGTTCTAGGTCCTCTCTATGCATGGTCCTCAGTTGGTGCATCAGTCTCTGCAGGGACCCCTGGGCTCAGATTTTTAGCTTTATTGTTCTCCTTGTGGGGCTCCTGTCCCCTCCATGTCCTTCTATCCCCCCCTTCTTCCATGAGACTCCCTGCACTCTGCCCAAAGTTCAGCTGTGAGTCTCAGCATCTGTTTTGATCCCTTGTTGGATGGAGCCTTTCAGAGGACCCTCTACAGTAGGCTCCCATCCTGTTTCCTCTCTTCCACTGCTTCTGGTGTCTATCTTGTTTGCCATTCTGAATGAGATTTAAGCATCTTCTCTAGGGTCCTCCTTAGTGTTTAGCTTCTTTAGATCTGTAGACTTTAGTATGTTTATCCTATATTTATGGCTAATATCTGTTTATAAGTGAGTATATACCATGTATGTCTCTCTGCTTCTGGGTTACCTCACTCAAGATGATCTTTTCTAGTTCCACCCATTTGCCTGCCAATTTCATTATTTGGAAATCAATCTGGCACTTTCTGAAAAAAATTGGGAATAGCACTACCTCAAGATCCAGCTATACCACTCCTGGGCATATACCCAAAAGATGCCCCACCATTCTATAAGGACATTTGCTCAACTATGTTGATAGCAGCTTTATTCGTAAATAGCCAGAATCTGGAAACAACCTAGATGTCCGTCAGCGGAGGAATGGATACAGAAATTGTGGCACATGTACACCATGGAATACCACTATTAAAAACAGGCTGCTTTTCCAGAGGATCCAGGCCCCACATGGCTAGCTGCTCAGTCATGTCTAACTCTAGTCCCAGAGCCTCTGATGTTCTCTTCTGCCCCTGGGGTGTGCCCACTGCACACACGTGGTACTATGACATGCAGACAAAACACCCATACCCACTTAAAGGTCTTGAAATGCAAACAAGTTGAAGTCTTTCTAACCTCGTTCGGGGAGGTTGAGTCAGGTGGACTGCTGGTTTAAGTCCAGTTGGGCTACATAAGCATTCTTAAGAAACTAAAGTGCACAGTTTCTGGCTTCCGTGGCGTGGGCAGAGTTTGGGCATCCTTTTCCACAGGTAAGCACAGCTAGGAACAACTGATTCTGGGCTGAGCCCAAGTGCCGTGGAGCTGGGTAGGAATGTGAACAGGAGATAGGCAAGTCCCTGCACTGGGCTGGTATGTGGGTGAGGCCGGCTTGTAGGCGCTTAAAGCTGGGAGGGGCTGGGGTGGCTTAGACAAGAGACTAGATTGAACCCCAGTAGATAAGACAGTGGGGTTTACCCACCTGTAACATATTCGAAAAGGAGGTTCCAGCCAGGTACAGTGGCTTACAGTTGCAATCTCAGCTTCGAAGAGGCTGCAAGTTTGAATCCATCCTGGGGTATGGGGTATTCAAAGAGAAGGGAATACAGGTGCCCAGCCACTACCCAGCCCCAGCCTCCTCCTGACTTACTGCCGGCTCGGGTGGGGATGTCCTTCTGCAGGTACACGCTTACATCATCAGCTACCTGAAGAAAGAGATGCCCTCGGTGTTCGGGAAGGAAAACAAGAAGAAGCAGCTGATCCTCAAGCTGCCTGTCATCTTTGCGAAGATCCAGCTAGAGCACCACATCTCCCCTGGGGACTTCCCCGACTGCCAGAAGATGCAGGTGGGGCAGCTGCAAACAGTGGCAGGTTGTTGATGGGAGAGTCTCCTGTGGGTTCTGAGATGGAGCCTGGGAGGCTGGAGGGCTGCGTGGCATTTTTCATCCAGGGAACGGAGCGGAGAGAAAACCCATAATAATCGTTTCCATGGCAGTAGCTTTTTTCCTTTCCTAAGGCTCTAGAATATACTTGGGGTGGGGCAGCTTGCTGTTTTACAGAGCCATGGACCTACTGCATTTCTCTTTTCCATGCTTGCCCATCACCTGGAGACCTCATGGTATCAATGGCTGCAGGGATTCCAGGCATTGGGTCTGCATTCCAGCCAGCTAGAAGAGAGGGGAGCTGGGTGGTGGCTCCGAGTTCAAGAGCACTTACCGCCCTTGTAAGGGGTCTGGGTTCCTTTCTTTACACCCACATGGCAGTTCGCTGCCGTCTGTAACTCTATTTCCGGGGGATCCGATACCCTCTTCTAACTTGTGCGGGCACCAGGTACCCACGTGATGCACAGGCATACAGGCAAGCAACACACACACACAATAAAATAAATGTCTTAACATAGGAAAGGAACTAGGCAAGGACCTGTCCGACTGTAGTGCAAGCAATGAAAGGTAGAGACAGGAGGGTCAAGAACTCAGGGGAGCCTTACCTACAGGAGTTCAAGGCCAGCCTGAGCAACGTAGGGCCCTATCTTTGAAAGGGGAGAGGCTCAGATGAGCACAGCTGCTCTCTTTAAGGACACTACATTTTACTTTGCTGGCAATGGTCCAAGCTGTGCCGCCCAATATGGTAGCCAATAGCCATATAAAGCCGAGTTACAGCCAGGCTTATTGAGCCGTTCCTCTTAACCCCAGAACTGGGGAGGTGGGCAAAGGCAGGATGATCACAAATTCAAGGACAGCCCAGGTTATGTAGAGAGTTTTAGGCCATCCTGGCCAGAGCTGCATAGTCAGACCCTGTCTCTAGATAAATAGACAGACAGACAGACAAAACAAAAGGGACTGGAGAGATGGCTCAATGGTTAGGAACATGCATGCTCTTTCAGAGGACCCGGATTCAGTTCCCAGAAACCACATGGTGGCTCACAACCGTCCGTAACTCCAGTTCCAGGGGATGTGACACCCTCTTCAAGCTTCTGTGGCCTCCTACATACATGCGTTACATGTGAACTGGTGCAAGAACATACACACCATAAAAATAATAACTCCAACAAAATGGAATTACAGATTAAACTACTTGACATACCACATGCAGTCTGTGGGTGCCATACTAAACCGGGTAATTTTAGAAGCTGTGTATTCAACCTGTGCTTAAAGACAATTGGCTGGAACCTAGTCACATGGCCAGCTGGCTGTCCTGTATGCTAAGAAGTGTAGCCTTTCCTGTGGCAGGGTGGGGCTGGCTGAAGAGAAGTGGCTATGTCCCGTAAGGCAGAGACCAGCCCCTGCTTACCTATCCTAAGGCATCAAACTTGAGTCTGTTGACTGAGCCTGATCACACAGACCTGTGGTCCCAGCTGCTCAGGAAGCTGAGGCGGGAAGATGCCGGTGCTCACACCTTAGAGAGACCACGTCTCAAACAGTAAAGCAGGTGGAGAGACTTGTAAAGTGAAGGCAGAGCAGAGTCTTGGACCATCTTCTCTCGATACAGTGAGTCGGAAGGTAGTCTGGGCCACACAAGACCCTGGCTCAAATGGCGAAAAAGTAAACCGGGACTGGGCCCATTAGTGATAGCGCCCCTGCCTAGAATTTCCCAGTGAGGGGCTAGGGGCGTGGCCTTGTACTGGTGACCCTTGACCTTTGAACTTCTTCATTCCTTCCACCAGGAGCTGCTCATGGCACATGACTTCACCAAGTTCCACTCGCTGAAGCCGAAGCTGCTGGAGGCGCTGGACGAGATGCTGACACACGACATTGCCAAGCTTATGCCGCTGCTCCGGCAAGAGGAGCTGGAGAGCGTGGAAGTTGTGGTGCAGGGCGGTGCGTTTGAGGGCAGCCGGATGGGGCCCTTTGTGGAGCGCGGCCCCGACGAGGCACTGGAGGATGGCGAGGAGGGCTCGGAAGACGACGCCGAGTGGGTGGTGACCAAGGACAAGTCCAAATACGACGAAATCTTCTACAACTTGGCCCCTGCCGATGGCAAGCTGAGCGGCTCCAAGGCCAAAACCTGGATGGTGGGCACCAAGCTACCCAACTCAGTGCTGGGGCGGATCTGGAAGCTGAGCGACGTCGACCGAGATGGCATGCTGGATGACGAGGAGTTCGCCCTGGCCAGCCACCTTATCGAGGCCAAGCTCGAGGGCCATGGGCTGCCTACCAACCTGCCCCGCCGCCTGGTGCCGCCTTCCAAGCGACGCCAGAAGGGCTCCGCCGAGTGAGACCGCAGCGACCGCTGGCTCTCCCTCCCACAATGCCCTGCTGCGGCTCCCCAGCAGATCCCTGCTCTGGCCCACTCACCTTGCCTGCCTATCCTGCCTGGCTGTAAAAACTTGGGGGGCGGGGCTTCTCTCCCACACCAGGCATTCAGTGAAAGCACTTACAGAGGACCAGGGGTAGTGACAAACCTCTGTCCTTCACACCTCCACGCTCACATACCCATGGGCTTATCACAGAAACACACACCATTCATATATTGACTTTTTTCTTTTCTTTTTTGAAAGTCTCTTACATAACCCGGGCTAACCTTGAACTTCCTCCGTATGTAGCTGAGGATGACCTTGAACTTCTCATCGTCCTGGCCTCACTTCCTGAGTGCTAGAGTTTCTTGCAGGCATGAGCCACCATGCCTGGTTTTTGCAGTGCTGGGGTGTGAACCCAGGGCCTCCTGCATGCTAGGCAAACACTCTATCAACTGAGCTATGCCCACCGCCCCGTCCAGGTATTTATTGAGCACTTACTGCGTGCTGGGCACTTGTGGAACTGACTCTCAGGAGTGTGGCATCTACATAGTCACACAGACACTGCTGCCAGCAAGACCCCTTGTCTCTTTTTATAGTTGCCTATAAAAAAGCAGCCATGCTAGGCTTCTCCGTTACGTCTCCAGGTCGCAGGACCATCGGGAGTTCGGGGGGAACACCTGACCTCCTCCTTCCTCATATGGACCCCCTCTTTCACCTTCTTCCCACAAATCCTGAATTCTGACCACACCCATTTCACAAAGATTCCAAAAATGAAAAAACCCCAACTTCCCACTTCCTTCCATCCTCTGCCCTGCGCCCCTAGTCCCCTCGGCATGTGTGTGGGTTTGGGAACCGAAGTTTTCCACCCTCTGCCCATCTTCAGGTCATATGTAAGTAAAGTCCCTCAGAGACAGAGGCCCAGGAGTGGGGTGCCCTCCTGAAGCCGGGGTGAATATCTCGGGGAGAGGGAATTCTTGGTGCTTTAGCCTTTCCTCCCTAAGAGTTGCCCACCCCCAACTCCTTGTGTCTTCACCACCTTCGTGCTCACCCTGGTGGGGACACCGAGGAAAAGATGGGGTGGCGAGGAAGGACAGCTGGAGGGGGCTGGGAACCGGAGAGTGTCCCCCACACGGCCAATAAAGCCAAGGCTGCTGTTTGTGTCTCTGTTAGGCTACCTTGGGGCGGCGACCCCTGAGGAAGAGGCACCTGGGGGGACCATTCTGGCTCACAGGGGCGGGGCAGCCTGTGATTCAGCCCTGCGCTGACTCAGTCTTGGGCTGGGGGCCAGCCCTGCATATTTTCCAAAGTAAAGTTACTCAGGGCCCTCCCCACCCCCGGGACATCCCTCCCTCCTGCCTCCCGCCGCTGGGCCTGGGAACCCAGTCCTGACGTGGACCGGGGCCAGTGCCAATTTGTGTGTAGCACGTCCTTAGTCCCCTAAGCGCCCTCCAGCGCACACTGACACGACTTGAATGCACCAGAGCAGATTCTGCAGCCGGAGACCACTGGGTCCTGGGGAGGAGGGATTAGTGTCGGAGTGAATGGGACACACACCCACCGCACCCGGACACACTGGCCTGGAGAGCCTCTCGCCCACGCGTGCCCCTCTGGCGGGAAGGCAGTCAAGTCACTCAATCCAGACTATCACCTCCACACCCTGCTCCGTTCCCCTCCTGCTACGTGCCCCTCCGGTTGCGAGCCATGACCCGGTGTGTGATGAGTTCTCACCCTGTGCCTTTTTCCTTTAAGGGTCTGGAATAAACGCTCTTTGTAATCCCAGCATGCAGCAGCTGGGATTACAAAAGATATGGGGGAGGGGGAAGGTATGTTTTTAATTCCAGCAATGGTGGCCAATGCCTTTAATCCCCGTACTGGGGAGGCAGAGGTAAGTGGATTTCTGAGTTCAAGGCCAGCCTAGTCTATAGCGAGTTCCAGGACAGCCAGGGCTCCACAGGAAAAACAAAACAAAAAACAAGGAAACAAAAATGTGTGGCTGTAGCCCACTAACAGTACTTGCCCTGCTTGCAAGGCTGTCTGGTTTCCATGCTCAGCGAGGCCTGAAAACACATACAAAATCCCATGTAGACCTCTCTGGATGACTACCACCGCCCAGGGGCCTCTGGGGGTGGAGCAGTGGCATAGCCCATGCTCAGATGCTAGGCACCACCTTAAGCGCTTTAACTTTTATCTTCAGAAAAACTTAGCATTTTTACTCTTGTCTCACAGCTAGGGAAACTAAGACACTGCATAGTGCATTGCCCACAAAGGAAGATTCCGAGCCTCCCGCCTGAGACATTGTAACATTGCTTGAGGATCACATTCTGTGTCCAACTTAGACCTTCCTAAAGTTCTTCCATTTCCAATTCTAGGATTGGAACTTTAAAAAAATATTTAGAGCTAGAGAGATGGTCCAGTGGTTAAGAGTACTGTCTGCTCTTCCTGCGTTCAGTTACCAGTAACCAGATGGTGCCTCACAACAGTCTACACCCTCTACTGCCCTCTTCTGGCATGTAGGTGTACATGTAGATAGAGCACTCATACATACATACATAAAATCTTTAAAAAGTATATATTTACTTTGTATTTATGTATGCCTTTGAGTGCATGCACACACACACATATGTGTGGACACCAAGAAGCTGAAGTTTCAGTTGTGTGTCACCATCGGGATGAGAGCAGGGTCTTCTGGGAAGAGCTGCCGGCACTTTTAACAGCTGAAGCATCTTTCTAGGCCACACGCTCAGCTTCTTATCTAAGCTTTGGGGACTCAAATTCAGGTCCTTAGTGTTTGCCCAGGAAGCCCTCTTACTCTCTGAGCCATCTCCCCAGCCTCTGTCTTTCATTTTGAGACTCGGTCTCTCTGCCCTGTACTCATTCTGCAGTCTAGGGTAGCCCATGAACTCGTGATCCTCCTGCCTCAGCGCCTCCGGAGTAGGGTTAGGCATGAGCAACACTTCCCAGCTGGGTTGTTTTAAACGTGTGTGAACGTAAACATGAATGCCACAGCGTGCCCTGTGACGGCTGAGAACCACCTGCTTGCAGAAGCCGCCTCCTTCCTTCCAGCATACGGGTTCTGGGGATTAACCTCAGGCTTGGTAGCAACAACCTTTTACCTATTGAGGCATCTTGGCAGCCCCGTGCCCAATATCTTCTTTAATAAAAAAAAAAAATAATGATCGCAAGAGTTAATGAAAAATTGGCTGGACTCCACCTCTATGGCATTACTGTTTGGGGAGGAGGGGGTGCAGTGGCAATGGGCACTGGTCGGTCACCTCTGGTCTATTATCTAAGTCTTCACTTATCTCAGGCTGGTGCAAACACTCCTAATAAATCCAGTGCATCTCAAAATAACTACAAAAACACAAAAGGAGGGCGGCTTTTGAAAAGAAGGGTGGTTGAGCAAGAGTGAGAAGGCAATGGGAAGCGAAAATGGACAAGGCAGGTATGAAATTGTCAAATAATTAAAAAACAATTAGTTTGAGCCAAATTTAGGAACAGCAGGAAAGGTACATTGCGCAGAGTGAGCGCCAAGAATCCAACTAGCCCACTCCCCACTCGTCAGAAACTGCAGGCTGCAAATTTAACAGTGTGCTGTCGTTAGTCATGGTAGGATTAGGAATTCAAGGTCATTTTTTAAAAAGATTTATTTATTATGTATACACTGTTCTGCCTACATGCCAGGAGGAGGCACCAGATCTCATTATAAATGGTTGTGAGCCACCATGTGGTTGTTGGGAATTGAACTCGGGACCTTCTGAACAAAGCAGCCTGTGCCCTTTAATCTCCTCGTTCTGGAGGCAGAGGCAGGCGGATCTCCCGAGTTTGAGGCCAGCCTGGTCTACAGAGTCCAGGATAGCCAGGACTACCCAGAGAAACCCTGCCTCGAAAACTCAAAATTTAAAAAAAAAAATTTTTTTTTTTTCTTTTTAAATCTGTGAGAAACTCTGCCAAGATGGCCTTCGCCCTTCTTTGCCTCTTTACCAGGATGGCCGCACCCAGGAAGTGCGTTGTGACTACGTCAAGTGGGTTGCGCACGCTTCGACCCGGATGTCGGAGTGTGAGCGACCAGGCTCTTCCTTTAAGAAGATGGCGGCGGGGAGTAAGGGCGGCGGGAAGAAGCGCGACTCGAAGGGCCGCGCGGACTCTGGCTTCCTCGGGCTGCGGCCCACTTCGGTGGATCCCGCCCTGAGGAGGCGGCGGCGCGGCCCCAGGAACAAGAAGCGCGGCTGGAGGAGGCTCGCCGAGGAGCCGCTCGGCCTAGAGGTAGACCAGTTCCTGGAAGACGTGCGGCTGCAGGAGCGCACCACCGGGTACGTGGGGCGGGACTTCCGGCAGCCGGCTTCCTTTCCCCGCGGCCCGGCGCACCCGGACTCCCGGCGCCGGGGTTTCGGGGCGGAGGTCTGCTAGCGTCCTCTTTGAAAAATAAGTACGCAGAAATCCCAGCGAAGTTGAATGTCTCTGTCAGGCTTTTTGATTTTTTGAAACGGAGCCGAGCGCGGTGGCGCAGGCCTGTAGTCCCAGCGCTCGGGGAGGCAGAGGCAGGCCCATCTCAGTGAGTTCAAGGCCAGCCTGGTCTACAAAGTGAGTCCAGGAAAGCCAGGGCTACACAGAGAGAAACCCTGTATAAAAACAAACCTAAAAAAAATTGAAACGGCCTCAGTGGGTAGCTCTGGATGCCTCGCTGCGTTGACACCGCTGGCCCGGAACTCCGTTTCTTCTGCCTTCCTAGTGCCGGGATTACAAGCCTTGTACCACAGGGTTTGAGTTTCAAGTGAATGAGACTAAAGTACGCGCAGCGCCCCATCGTGCTATATTCAAAATCCCGTGTGATGTGATGTGAAAGCTCCAAATGTAGTCCAGAAGGGCCCCATGGCTGGAGGTGTCGGAATGGGCCCAAAGAGTTAGGCTCCACCTTAGGCGGGTCTGCGGCCTTCCCGGCATTACTTTGACCAACGGTCTGCCTTTTTATCCCTTCAGTGGCTTGTTGGCAGAGGCCCCAAATGACAAGCTCTTCTTTGTGGATACTGGATCCAAGAGGAAAGGTGAGGAGTGCTTTTGTGATCAGAGGTACTGTTGTTTCGCTTGTATCCCTCTTAGTGACGTAAGGTAAACAAATCTTTTTTTTTTTTCTTTTTGAGACCAGATTGGCCTCAGACTGAGAGATCTCTTTGCCTCTGTCTGCCTCTTGAGGGCTGGGAATAAAGGCATGCTCCATCTCAAGCTAAAAGAGGAAGGATGTCTTTATATAAAGGATTACTTTGAATGGGTGGAGAGCAAGCTTGAGAGTATGTTAGGAAAGGCAACTTTTTTTTCCCCCCGTTTTTCTTACTGAGCTGTGTACCCCCAGCTCTCTTCAGAAGAGCATGGTGGCAGGCTTGGTGACCCACAACTCAGGAGGCAAGAGGCAGGCAGATCTCTTTTGAGTTAGAGGGCAGCCTGGTCTACATAGTGAGCTCTAGGACAGCCAGGACTCAAAACATAGAGAACTGTTTTAGCCAGTAGGAGGGAAACGGGTCTTGGCAAGCCCGATCTACTCCGGTAGAACTGGGGTTTGGACTTGCTGGGACATGAAGACAAGGCCAGATTAGGGATTGCTTTTGTAAGTAATTGGGGTTTCACCTCTGTGGCAGAAAAACACTGAAAGTGTGCAGCCTTTTTCAACAGGTACTGAAAACAAGCCAGTGCCTGGTCTACGAGGACCAGGACTTCAACGGCTTTGCCGAGCAAGCTGGGAGTTTTGCCAATAGCCAGGTACCTTAATACGTACAACATGAGTCAGAGGGCCCTGTTCATGAAAACAAGACCTGCTTGAGAAGGTCTAGAGAAGCCAGGGAAGCTGCATGGGCACAGGGATTTTTTTTTTTAAACAGATTTTTACATTAGCATATAAAGTAATGAGTTTCATCCTTATTGTTGGGGGGCACAGCATTTGAGGCAGGGTTTCTCTTTGTAGCCTTGACTGTTCTGGACTCGCTTTGTAGACCAGGCTGGCCTCAAACTCAAACTCATAGAGATCCTCCTGCCTCTGTGTCCCTGAGTGCTGGGATCCCTGCCCGGCTTCATCGTGATGTCTTAATGTTATGATACTTTCTTCGAGTTCACTCTGCCCTCCCTACCTCCTTTAGCAGATTCCCTTGATGGTCCCTTCCCTTTGTTTTTCTTCTTAAAAGTTTTTTAGAGTTATTTATTTTGTGTTTTGCTCACACGTATGTGAGTGCACCACATGTGTCTGGTGCCCCCAGAGAGCAAAACAGCGCCAGATCTCCTGGGATGGGAGTTATGTGAGGTTGTGGGCCTCCGTGGGAGTGCTGCAAGCACTGAGCGTCCTTAACTGCCGAGCTGTCTCTGCAGCCACCACCTTCTTTAGACGTATCCAGTTGTCTTACCTCCTTCCCTTCTCCCGACACCCTTTCTAGTTTTGTCACACAGGTGGGAGTTATGTTTTGGTTTGGTTTATTTATTTATTTAGCACAGGGTCTCACCGTGCAGCCCTATCTTTCTGGAACAGATTAGGCTGGTCCTGAACTCACCAAAATCTGCCTGTCTTTGCTGGAATTAGAAGTGTGTGCCACCACACTCAGGCCAACACATGTAGCTTTAAATCTAGCTTCTACATACAAGGGGAAACATAGTGTTTATCTTTCTGAGTTTGGCTTATTTTTGCTTAACTGAGTGATTTCTGGGTTTTGTTTTTGTTGTAAGGTCTTGTTGTGTACCCAGGCTAGCTGAAAGGTCACTGTGTAGCCTGGGTACACAGTGAACTCACATCCTCATGCCTCATGCCTCAGCCTCCGAAGTGCTTGGATTACAGGTAGGAGCCAGCAGCAGGACAAGCTCCAGATCTTCATCCCCAAAGGAAGTTAGCATTTAGTTTTTATTTTATTTGTGTGCATGTGCGCGCGCGCGGGCCGGTGCACCAGCTCGGGTATGGTGTGGGCACACCCAGCCTCTAGGGTGTGCCGTGGCATGAGTGTGGTCAGAGTGCAGCCCTCTGTAGGAATGTTCTCCTACCATGTGGGATCCTGGGGTTGAACTCGGGTTCCCCGGCTTGGCAGTCCGAGCCTTGGCCGTTGAGCCGTCTTGCAGTTTAGCATTCAGTTTTTGTGGTATGTTGCTGCTGCTGCTGCTGCTGCTGCTGCTGCTGCTGCTGCTGCTGCTATTTGCCGTGCTGTGTGGAACCCAGAGCCTCGAGTGTTTCTCAGGCTTTCCAGCCCCCTGTTAACATTTTGGAATTAGCTTCCCTCTGTCTTGCAAAACCTGCACTCCCAATGCAGGGACTCCGTACCGCTCCCTCCCCAAAGAGACTCACAGACCGCGGTTCGATGCAAAAGCAAGCGGCAGTTTATTCCGATCGCGATGGGGGTTGCCCCTTCAAGGCAGGAGACGACCCCAAGCATACAAAGCACAGAGTTTTTATACCTAAAAATCAAGCCACACATGTATCTTTACTTTGACTAGTCAGCAGAAAAGATAGCAGTTTTGCAGCTGGCAGCTTACAGCTTCTTCCAAGGGCAGTCCTCCCTGCCCCAGGTTTCTTATCTCAAAATAAGCTCATTCTGTCTTTTGAGGGGGGCCATCTGGTCTGGCCTCTACTCAAGGTTTAGTAGCCCTAATTGTCGGACTGTTCTTTCTTAGCTGGCCCTTATTCAAGGTCCAGTTGTTTTTCTTTCTAGTCTGGGATGGTCCCATTTCTCAGTCTCAGGCTGGCCAAAGACTCAATCCTCTTGCCTTGGCCTGCAGACTTTAGTATTACCTGGTGTGCACCACCATGCCTGGCCTTCTTAGTGTGTTCTGCTGCAGACTTCCTGCTTTACCAGGTCGGCTTGGGAAGTAGAGAACAGAGTGCTGAGAGGTGACCGAAGCTGCTCCTCCTTGAGTCTCAGCACCCCTGGGTGCCTACCCTGTTCCCTGCTATTTCTGAGGCTCTTCCCCTGTAGTGTCCATGTGGCTCTCCAGATGGCACTGGGGGGACTTAGTTCCCATCACAAGGCTGTATCTAGCTGACCTAGGCTGGGAGTGAATCAGACCTGGGCTCTGGATCTTCTCCTGTAGTGAACAAGATCAGTCTGGGACTCTTAGGGTATGTGCTGCATAACGTAACCTAGGTTGCAGGCCATCAGGCCCTAGTTGACCTGAAGTCAGCCATTGATTTGTGAAGGTGGGAGGACTAAAATGAGGACTCTTTCCCCTGCTGCAGAACGGATCAAGAAGAGGACCTGGGTCCATAAGAAGTCACAGTGTCTCCAGAAACCCCTATGGGTTGACCTTGCCCTTGAGAATCATTCTAAGATCCCGGCTCCCAAAGAGTAAGTCCTTCCAGCCCTGGTCCCTGAAGACGGCAGAAAGGTGGAGTGATGGGCAGTTGGGAGGCAGACTAGGCTGGAGGTGGGTCTCTAAGAGAGTGGCTTAGAGGATTGAGTGCAACAGGGTAGCCTGGACCAAAGAGGGCTGTGGGATAGAGGCTCTCCTGGGCACAGATGAGCTGAGGTTAGTGTCAGCCCTGGGGGAGGACAGGCTAGAAAGGCTGCGGAACAGCTAGAAGGGGGTGGTCACTGCTCAGCTGTTCCTTACCCGTTACCACTCTCCCCTTACCCAGCATCCTCGCACACCAGGTCCCCAACGCCAAGAAGCTCAGGCGAAAGGAGGAGCTATGGGAGAAACTAGCAAAGCAGGGCGAACTGCCCAGAGAGGTGCGCAAGGCACAGGCGCGACTCCTCAATCCTCCTGCTCCAAAGGCCAAGGCCGGGCCACAGGATGTCATTGAGCGGCCCTTCTATGACCTCTGGAACTCGAACAGTGAGTGGCTCTGCTCCCTCTTGTGGGCGTGGGACTACTGTTGGCAGTTGTCCACATAGCATGCTGCCCAAGAATGTGCCGCCCGAAGGCATGCCCTGCACGTGCTGGGAGACTTGCAGCAGGGGGTCTGAGGTCTTCAGTGCTACCCTTCCCTGCCTCGGGGGCTCCCTGCTCGGCCTTCAGTCTCCTCCACTTCCCGAGTCCTGTCTAGGTGAGGTTTCAAGCCCTGAGGGTCTGAGCATCTTCCCTTTCCTGGGTTCCAGTGTTATTTTTAGCAGTCCAGTCCCTGGGCTTTAGACCCCCATCTCTGCTAGAAAGCCCGCTGCAGTCGCTCTCTCTCCCTACAGACCCTCTGGACAAGCCTTTGGTTGGTCAGGATGCATTTTTTCTCGAGCAGACCAAGAAGAAAGGTGTGAGGGTAAGGTTGCACCATGGGCAGTGGGGCAGGGAGGTAGCTCTTCAGTGGTCGGCATGCCTGTTCCCTTGTGGCCCGAGGCCCTCTCCTGGCTTCCATGCTGACTCGCCTTGGGAAGGTGGCCTCCCCAGGGCTTCCATCCCTTCCCTCCTCTAGATGTAGAGTGTGGGTTCGCAGCCTGCTCAGGCCAGCCGGGAGGTGCGGGTTACAGAAGAAGGGTCTGGAAGTGGCCCGGAGCACCACACTGGCTCTGTGGCTTACAAGTTGATTTGCGGCCCTCATCTTGAGCTCTGAATTTTGGCTGCTGAGAGCCAGGTCCTGTGCAGTCTTAGCACTTTTGGGGGCTGGAGGAAACCCTTTCTTCACATCATGTATTGTATGTCTCCAGGGATGAGAGGTTAGGAGACAGGCTTCTGGGAGGCCAGGAGCCATCAGTGGAGAATAGCCCCTAAGGCTGGAGATCTGAGGAGCATGCCAGCCATAGGCAGAACAGGGCCAGCGGGTGCACAGTGGGCCCTGAGCCAGTAGCCCTCAGGGTCTGAGTGGGCTGAGTTTGGACTACTAGAAGATCAATTGGTATCAGGCCTGTAGGGTAGGGAAGCTTGAAGCAGAGACATGAGAACTGTTGCCCACACTTTGCTGTGACAGACAGCAGAAGGCCTATGCCTATAGCACAGCTGAGGTGGCAGTGTGCTAGGGCTTGTAAATCACCCAGACCCAGTGTGGCACATACGTTTGCAAATACTGCCCCCCCCCCCCCAGCCCGGTGGTGATGATGGCACACCTTTGATCCCAGCACTCAGGAGGCAGAGACAGTACGATCTCCAGGTTGGAGGCCAGCCTGGTTTACAGAGTGAGTTCCAGGACAGCCAGGGCTACACGGGGAAACCCTGTCTTAAAAAAAAGAAAGTAGGTGTTGGGCCCTTCCCCTCAGTGGTCTCATGGCTTGTAGGAGAGGCCTGCAGTGCCCTTCCTGTGGAAAGGCTTTGTTCACTGCAAGCACAGATGTCTCCTGTGGAGGGTGTGAGGTCCTGTAGGCAGCTGGATAGCCTATAGGCTTCATTATGGCCTCCTGAGTCACAGGTCCCAGCACCCCAGATGGGCGAGCTCCTTTGACCCCTGGTCCTTTATATCTCCACAATAAACCCTAAAACAGAACGATGAGCAGGTGACAGGGTCTTTTGTTCCCACGCGCCAGCCAGAAATCTGAGAGGGAGGGCCCTGGTTGTCCGTGCCTCATGGTGGCAGGCTGAGTGCAGAAAAGGGTGCAGGCTGGAGCCCTTAGTAAGATGTAATCCTCTGGGAGCCTGCCTTGTTGGGCCCCGCGTTTAGCAGTCTCACACTGCTAAGCTTCAGTGTCAGGCATTTTAGGGTCCACTGATGTTTATGGCATGGAGGTCATCCTGCCTCCCTGGTCTTGCCTTCCTCCAGCGGCCACCACGCCTCCATGTCAAGCCTTCCCAGGTGCCTGCAGTGGAGGTGACTCCTGCGGGAGCCTCCTACAACCCAACCTTTGAAGATCACCAGGTAGGTGTGCAGTGGGTTCCTGGCCTAACCAGGTGCAGGTTTCACTGTCTGGAGTCCTCGTTCCCGTCAGCCCGTCCCCTCGTCCCTCCTTTGCTTAGCTCCGGCCCTACCTGCTTCCTTGCCTGGAATTTGTTCAGGGACCAGACCATCGAGCAGAACCCAGCCTGGTGTGAGGGTGGCTCAGATGTATTTTCCGGGTGTGTGTAGAGGGTGGAGCCATGAGCTGGCGTAGTGCTGAGGCTCAGGCATGGGCGGGATCGAGGAGCAGCCCTGATTGCTACATTCCCCCTCAACTCTCACCTCTGTCCAGGCCCTGCTTCAAGAGGCCCATGAGGTAGAGCTGCAGCGAGAGAAAGAGGCGGAAAAGCTGGAGCGACAGCTAGCCCTGCCCCCCACAGAGCAGGCTGCCACCCAGGTAAGCCCCACCCACACTCATCACCCCTGTGACCCCACCTGCCTCTCCTGCTGACCACCTGCTCCCTAGGAGACTGTGTTTCGGGAGATGTGCGAGGGCCTGCTGGAGGAGTCTGATGGCGAGGATGAGCCAGGCTGTGCTGAGCAGCCGGAGGCGGATGGTGGGGCTGCTGCTGAGCCCTCACCTGAGGGTGCTGCTGGCCCCAACAGGAGGGTGGAAAAGAAGACAGAGCAGCAGCGGCGGCGCGAGAAGGCTGCCCGAAAGCTGGTGAGCACCTGGCTCTGTGTGGGTGTGGCCACACGGGGCCCTCAGACTACTGTGCTTTGACCTGGTACCAGTTCCATCCAAGGGGAGGTCATGGCTTTGTGGTGCCCTGGCGGGGAAGGCTCTGGGCTGAGGGGCACTAGGCTGAGCTCTTACCCTCTGTCCATAGCGGGTGCAGCAGGCTGCACTGCGGGCAGCCAGGCTCCAACACCAAGAACTCTTCAGGCTTCGTGGGATCAAGGCCCAGGTGGCCCATAGGCTGGCAGAGCTGGCACGGCGGAGGGAGCAACGGCGCATGCGGCGACTGGCAGACGCTGACAAGCCCCGCAGGCTGGGCAGGCTCAAGTGAGACGTGGGCTAGGGCTCCAGGGTACACCGTGTTCCTTTCCTGGGCCTGTGAGAGCCAAACTCCTGAGTGTCCTCAACCTTGTGTTCTGCAGGTACCAGGATCCTGACATTGATGTACAGCTCAGCTCTGAGCTGTCTGGCTCACTCAGGACGCTGAAGGTACTTACCATGAGGGTAGCAGGGCCTATGGGGACCTTGTGCCCAGTGATGATACATCCTTGCTCCCCGTGCCCTCTGGGGCTATGGGCGACACCATGGCTGCCCTGGGCTGGGCCAGTTGGGCCATTGCCTGGGGGCTGAGGGCACAGGGTCTGAGGGAGTTGGGTGCCAGGTAGTTGGGTGGACTCTGACGCTCAGAAGGCCTTTTGTCACAGCCTGTCTTGTGACAGTCCTAGTGCGTCTTGTCAGATTGTGCACGTCTTGGCTGTGGCCTGGCATGGGGCTTCATTTTTGCAGCCCTAGCCTTTGTGCTCTGAGCCGAGCCAGGGTAGCACACATTGACTTCAGCACAGTGCAGGGCCCTTGGAGCGCAGTGGCCGTACTTGGGCTACTCTGGAGGCTGCTGAGCTCTGTCTGGGCCTCAGGACTGTCAGGGCCTGGCTGCTTTCTCACAGGCCCTGCTAAAGTTTCTCTGTCCCTCTGCCCCACAGCCAGAAGGTAACATACTCCGAGACAGATTCAAGAGCTTCCAGAAGAGAAACATGATTGAGCCCCGGGAGCGAGCCAAGTAAGCCGCCCACTGGGAGGGTGGGCCATTGAGGCACGGCCTCCCCAGCTTGCTGAGACCAGGGAGGCTCAGCCTGCCTTCCCCTTTCCAGGTTCAAGCGCAAGTACAAAGTGAAGCTGGTGGAGAAGCGGGCCTTCCGTGAGCTGCAGTGAGTGGGCTCTTCCGCGTGGGGTTGCCTGGCATCCTGTGGGCCGGCCTGTCTTGCCCCACAGTACCTTCCTCCCTTTTGAAAGCTGCCAGTTTCTGGGCCCTTCCCAAACCTCATGACTGGTCAACAGGGGCCCAGGAATCTAGGGTAGGGGTGGAGATGGTGTCCCAGGGAAACCAAAGCCCCAAACCAGAAGTGCGAAAGGCTGTGGGCATGCCCCTCCACTAATCCACCTTACCTCTGTGTCTGTCCTCAGGTTGTAGCTGCAGATGTCAGAGCCCCGCTCCTCAATAAAGTGCTGTGACCAGCCCTGGGTTCTTGTACTTTCTTTTTACAAGTAGTATCTTCTCTCCTAAAGTCTACCCACCTCATTTCTGCTCCTCTACTGCTGCCCAAGACTTAAGTAGCATAGTCCCTCTCACCAGAGCCTGCCACCAGTGCTGAATGTGTGGAGACCACAGCTCTACCGCGTTCTCCCCTGAGCCACACCCCAGCCCCTCACTGGGGGATTCTAGGCAGGGGCTCTGAATTCTGGGGTTGCAGGTGAGCACCTTACCAGTGGATATAATAGATGGAATTTAAAGTGCCACTAATGTGACAACAGTATCTGTAAACCAGCAGGTGAGTTACCCAAATGTCAAGCACTTGAGACTGGAATCTGTAAGGCCTCTAAGAAGCTAAGTGTCTCAACTGGACTTAATCCTTTCCAACAAGTATCTAAGGCTAATCCAAGCTTCTTAGGGGACCCTCTTCATTGCCATTGTAGAAACACCTTTGGCAAAGAATCAAGTATACACCCTTAAAGGAAGAGAACTAGAGCTGGGGGCAGCTTGGTTGAGAGTGCCTGCTGCTCTGCCTGCATGTAGACTGTGCCTCGTGCCTGGTGCCCATAACACCAGAAGGTGGTGGCAGGGGTGGTACAACTCTGGGTGCTGGAACTGGACCCCGGTACTCTGGAAGACCAGGCAGTGCTCTTTAACACTGAGCTGTCTCCAGCCCTTCATTTTAAAATGGGGTCTCCGGTAATGAGACCAGGCTGGCCTTGAACTCTGGTTCCTCCAGCTTTTGTATTCTATCACTGGAACTGTATCCTATATCCCGGCTTTTGATTGTGTTGAGACAGGGTCTCACTGCAGCCTTGAAGTTGTGATCCTTTGCCTCATGTTCCTGAATGCTTGAACAATAAGCATTGCTTGGCTCATCCGGTTTTCATGGATGTTTTAATCCATTGAGATTCTCATATATCCATGCAGTGTGTCATATTCACTTTCATGTCCTTAAGCCCCCGTGTGACCCTGTCCTGCTCTAGAATCGAAGGGGTTTGGGACCAGTATGTCAAGTGTCTGACCACCAAGCTGTAGGTGAACAAATCTAGAACCCTCTGGGCCAACCTAGAAAGGGCTCTCTAGGGGATCCCACTCCCCAGCCTTTCCACACTATTGTTCTGGGCATCATTTTGGTGGCTGCTACTTGCTGCAGTGTGGCCCTTGAGGGTTTTCCCATTAAGGCTGAAGGGGAGGAGAGTGGCCAGAGCTTGCCAGCGCCCAGTGTCTCCAGAACTTCGCTTCTTGAACTTGGGAGGACCCTGGAGCTAGAGTTAAAACATGGTTGCCAGACATGTGCTGTGAATCAAGTATGGGTCCTCTGGAATAGCCAGTGCTCTTACCTGCTGTACCGTTTCTCCACTTTTTTGTTGTTTTAAGAGTGTTTTTTTGGGCTGGAGAGATGGCTCGGAGGTTAAGAGCACTGCTGTTCTTCCAAAGGTCCTGAGTTCAATTCCCAGCAACCACATGGTGGTACACAACCGTCTATAAGAGGTCTGGCGCCTTCTTCTGGCCTGCAGACAGGATATTGTATAAATGATAAATAAATAAATCTTTTTTTTTTTTTCTTTCAATATGTGTTGCTCATAGAAGCCAGAGAGGACCTTAAGGTGCCCTGGAGGAGATACAGGCATTTGTAAGCCACTGGAACTGAACCCTGGGCCTCTGTAAGATCAGCCAACAGTCTGAACTGATAAATTCTCTAGTCTTTCCTAGTTTAAAGTTGAGATGGTGGTGTATTGGGGGGGTGCTCTTCTGGAGAGATGGCTCAGAGGTTAAGAGCACTAGCTGCTCTTCAGGGATTCTAAGTTCAATTTCCAGCACCCACATAGTGGCTCACAGCCGTATGCTGGTTACCCTCTACATCTGCTGCCCGATTCTGGGCACGTGACCTGTGGATAGAGTACTCACATGTAAGAGAAATTTAAAAAATACAGAAATTGAGATGTCGCAAGTAGCCCAGGTTAGCCTTGAATTTCCTGGGTCACAGTGGAGGGCCTTGAACTTCTGATCCTCCAGTCTTCATCTCCTGAGTGCTGGGATTAGACATACATACTGAGCCTGCTTTTATATGGTGCTGGGATTTAAACCCAGAGCTTTGGTCACCTTAAGCAAGCACAGCAGCCACAGCTCTGATTGAGACTTTGCCTTAAAAGAAAAAAAAAAAAATTCAGTACAGTATAGGAAAATTAGAACCACTGGAAAAGAATGATAACAAATTTGCTGGAATGTTACTGCCCCTGCAACTTGGCACAGAGTTTGTTGATTGCATGCCAGAGTGGACGGTCAGTCCCATGCAGCCCCAGAACACAAAACTTCCTGGCCAGCAAACGCTTCCTCCCATTCTCACGGTGCCAGGCCTTAAGCGTTCTCCCAGATCACCCTGCTTCCTCACAGCCCCCAGGGGTGAGATCAGCCTGCAGAGAGGATGCTGTTTGTTTTTTCTCCCATTGTTGTATTAGCCGTCTGTGAACAGGGCTGGAGAGGGTGGCCCAGTCTTCACCCATGTAGCTTGCAGTGACATGGGAGTGTTCTGTGCTGTCCTGGAGATACAGAGACTGTTACCTGCAGGATGGAGTTCACACAGCCCTGCAGGACCAGGATTTGGAACTAGAACATGGCTCAGCAGCCTGGGGGTGTTAAGCAGGCTCACACCCTCGCAGTGTGCTCTGATGGCAATGCCAGAAGGCGCGTGGGCCATCTACTGCATGTGGGCGCACGAATTTCCTGCAGCCTCACCGAATTTCCTGAGTTTGCCTTAGGGGTCAGGGCCAGGCTAAAGGCTTGATGACTGAGACCACCATACCCAACCATCTGGTGGCCCAGTGGCCTCCTTTGGCCCTGAGATTCCTCCCCTCCTCCAGTGAGTTCCTAGATGCCCTGTCAGTATGAACATTATGTGTCAGAGGCCAGGACTTGAGACTCCTTAGATACTTGGAAAACATCATTTAAAACCATTTTATATGTCCCTGCAACTTTCGTTCCTACCTCTCTGCCCCTGCCATCTGTCCCCAGCCACACATAAAGCTATTTTCTAAACCGCAGAACATTCCTTGCTAGCATGGAAGGGGGACAGGATAAGAATAGCCTTCAGGATAGGCTTTATGGGGCTTATGTATGGGATTCTGACCCTGGCTTCACCTAGTTAGGAAGTATATGCGTTTTGTTTTTTTTTTTAATTGAAGATCTTATTCTGGAGAAATCTTTCCAAAGGTCATTTAAAAAAGAAAAGGCACCGAAATCTAAAACCACTGAGCATAAGATCCCATCACAGCCCTGAAACATCCTCAGAGGACTAAACATTCGTGACAGATCTACCACAAAGAGCTGCTGAAAACAAAATGGCAAATACACCTGAAGAAATTTGAGCCAGCGGCATAGAAATACAGTTAGTAACCACAGGGAGAAATTCTTAGTCTCAGCCCCAGAGTTTACAGAGCCCTTTCTGCCAGGATTGAAGGCATATACCACCAGGCCCAACCAGAAACAATTCTTGACTTCTTTGGCAACCAGGAACAAACTAAAAAGGAAAGATTTATAATGATTACCTTCTGTAGAAACTACCCTGCTGGAAAGAGTCAGTATAGCCTGTAGGGAGAACAAGTTAGCTGACTCCTAGAGTGTCTGCTAGAACTTGCCAGTGAAGGGCTGGGGTGTGGCTCAGTGGTAGAGCCCCTGCCTAGAATCCCCCAGTGAGGGGCTGGGGGCGTGGCTCAGTGGTAGAGCCCCTACCTAGAGTAGGGGGCATTGAGATTAACATTATACATTTTAAAAACTACTTTGCTAAGTGAGAAACCAAAGGCCAAGTATCTTAGGATCCCATTTGTGGGGCATGTTCAGAATGTGCTAATCCACAGAGGTGGAAGTTATGAGTGAAGAGATGCCTCCTTCCACAGTTCCTATGACCCCGATAATCCCAGTCACTGACTCTTCTGTTTCTGAAGAATCCACGCTGGCACACAGGTGGGAGTGAGGGTCAGAGTTTACTTTTAGCAGGAGAGAAATTGGAAGTACCCAGGGCTGGGGAGGGCTGAGCAAGGCCTGCACCGGCATCGGGATTAGCAGTTAGTGTAGGGGTTCCCTTCCCTGGGAGAGTGGGGTGGTCTTCCTGGAGGAGGCAGAGGCTTTCTTAGAAGCTTCCTTACCCACAGTTCAGTCTGTTTACAGGTGGGAGGCAAAGGAGCTCATGGTCTAGCCTGGGCCACACAGCAAGATCCTGTTTCAAATAGTCAATTGGTCAATCAGAGAGAGAGGGAGGGAGGAAGAGAAAGAGAAAGACATCCTGGTTGAGGAGCTTACTGGGGGAAAGGGCAATGGTGTCTTTGCTCTTCAGGAGGGCTATCTGGGACCCAGTGGGAGCCTGCCTGACCAGCTTTTATATTCTTCCCAGAATCCTGTTCTTTTTCTAATCTGTTCCACTTGGCTATCTCAGACACCAGCTGATCTTCAGTGTTCCTGACCTTGCTTAAAAAGAAAAGAAAAGAAAAAAGAAGCAGGCTTGGTGACACACCTTTAATCCTAGCGCTTGGGAGGCAGAGGCAGAGTGAGTTCCAGGACAACCAGAGCTACATAGTGAAAATCTGTTCAAACAAAACCAAAGGCACATTATTGTCATTCATAGGTATGTGCATGTGTGCCTGTGCATGCCACTTCAGAGGCCGGAAGAGGGTGTCACATCCCCACAGTTGGAGTTACAGGCCGTCGCAAGCTTGCTGATGTGGTCGCTGGGAATGGAGCGAAACTCCAGTTCTCTGGAAGAGCCACCAGAAGAGTTAATCCTGGAGCCACTAGTCCAGCCCCTGACCTTGCTGTTTGAGAGATGGCTCAATGGTTACAAGCACTTCTGAAGGAGCCTGGTTCAATTCCCAACTCCCACATGGTGGCTCACAGCCATCTGTAACCCCAGCCTCAGCTGATCCACTGCCCTCTTGTGGCCACCATTGGCACTGCATTAATGTGACCCACACATGGAAATGTAGGCAAAAC